AGGTCATCAGTTACCATGGTGACAGACCCCAAGGTCATCAGTTACCAGGTGACAGACTCCAAGGTCATCAGTTACCATGATGACAGACCTCAAGGTCATCACTTACCATGGTGACAGACCCCAATGTCATCGGTTACCGTGGTGACAGACTCCAAGGTCTTTAGTTACCATGGTGACAGACTCCAAGGTCATCAGTTATCATGGTGACAGACTCCAAGGTCATCAGTTATCATGGTGACAGACTCCAAGGTCATCAGTTACCATGGTTACAGACCCCAAGGTCATCAGTTACCATGGTGACAGACTCCAAGGTCATCAGTTACCATGGTTACAGACCCCAAGGTCATCAGTTACCATGGTGACAGACCCCAAGGTCATAAGTTCAAGTATCTTTATTGTCATTCGCATTAGGGCTGCAACAACGAATCGATAAAATCGATAAAAATCGATGATTAAAAGCGTTGGTAATGAATTTCGTTATCGATTTGTTGTGTCGCGCGATTATACGTCTTACACGGCGCTGCTGAGTCATTTTGTTCACGGGCAGTTCATTGTCAATGCTGACTGACTGAATAAAGTTTGAAGAAGAAAAAACTGCAGTGCGAGTTGAACAGAGCGAGGGGGGAGCAAAGCAGAGTCTGTTTTAAAGCAAATTAAGTAAATTTTATAAATGACCGATGCAGCGAAAACTGTTCAACCCAAATCCTCCAAAGTGTGGGAGAACTTCACCAAAATAAAAAATGAGAAACATGCAGCTTTGAAAATCGCCGACAGGACATGAGAGAACCACGGAGATAAACGTAAACATGTCGGAGTCACGAGGAGGAGGAAGGAGCTTCAGCAGATACAACATGTCTCACTCCCAACTCGTGTGTTGCAGGTGAGTCTCTACAATTTAACACATTGTTCTGTTTCAAGAGAGAAAACGTAACGTCAGTCTGTCTGATAGATGAAGCTGTTTGTTTGTTTATCTGATTAATGACGGTGATAGAGAACGTGTGTTACTTTTTATTTAATGTAATTGGTACAAGCAGTGTTTAAATGTGATTATAAATAAATCTAACACAAAGATAATCATTTAATGATTAAGCTTCAACTTTTAATTTGCTGGCAAAGTCTGAAGACACTGCAGGTATGGCAGGATGAATTGCATTTAAACAGGAATTAAAGTAATTTATTACATCTACTCAAATGTGTGTAATTAAGTATTTTATATATGTGTGTGTGTGTGTGTTTAATTGCTCTTTTAGCTACTTTTGCCTGAACCTAACACTGTAAGTGAAACAAGGCATTTCTTGAGTTGCTGTAAATTATGATATAATACATATTTACTGTCTCATTCCAGAAAACAACAACAAACAACAACAACACTTCATGATGGACAGACATCATGGACACCACAGCAGCAGCTGTCTTCACTGAAACATCCTGAACATGATCGTCACTGACATGAGACCTCTGTCGATGGTTGAAGACAAAGGCTTCGCTACAATAATCCGCACTTTTAATCCAGGTTACAATAATTCACACTTTTAATCCAGGTTACAAT